AAGTGCCCAGGAGGCCCCAAGAGGTCCCAAGATGGCCCCAAGATGGCCCCAAGAGGCCCCCAAGATGCCCCCAGAAGGCCCCCAAGAAGACCCTCAGAGGCCCCAAGAGCCCCCCCTCCCCCCCCCCCCGAGGCACCCAAGACCCCGAAGAGCCCCCCAGGATCGCCAAGAGACCCCCAAGACGTCCCAAGAGGCCCCCACGAATCGCCCAAGAGATACTCCAAGAGGCTCCTAGAGGCATCCAAGAGACCTCTGGCCCTTGTGCTTGCCCTCCTCCTCCTCCTCCTGTTCCTCCTTCCTGCTCCTACTCCTTCTCTTCCTCCCCCTCCTCCTCCTCCTCCTCCTCCGCCTCCTCCTCATCCTATTCATCCTCCGTCTTCCCACTCCCTCATCCATCCATCCATCCACCTCCTCCTTCTCCTCCTCACTCCTTTGCACGGTTCGGCCGTCCTCCTCTTTGCTGCCGCACTTCCCTGATCACCTCAACTCGCCTGGACATCGTTTCGGGATGGGCTGGTGGGGATAAGCGAAGCGTCTAGAATTTCTGAACATCAGCCGAATTCGCGGGTTCCCATGTTTAAGGGATGTCTCAGGCGAAACGCTCGTTTTTGATGAAATCGATGTTGTGAACATTTCATTGTTGTAAGGATGTCTCAGGCGAAATCGCCATTTTGGATCGTCTCGAGGGCGCTCATGGGGGGGGTCAAATTTGGGCTTGGTTGGGGCCTTTGGGGGCCTTCTTGATGCCTTATAAAACCGTTATAGTCCGATGTTACACACATTCATTTTTTCAGGATGTCCCTAGCGAAATCGTCATTTTTAGATGACTGGCTTAAACCATCCAGAAGCCTTTTCAGGAGCGATCCCCAGACGATGTTAAAACAGCAGTTTTCAAAACGATGTTGTTCGATTTTTTTATTTTTTGAAGATGTCCCTAGCGAAATCACTATGTTCAGCAACCTTAAGGGCGCTCTTGGGGCCATGTTGTGGCCTTCTTTTGCTTCCTGATGCCCTCCTAAAATCATTACGATGCGATGTCGCACGCATCAATTTTTTGAGGATGTCCCTACCGACATCGACATTTGTTGAAGGCTGCCTTGGGCCGTCTGCAAGCCTTTTCAGAAGCAATGTCAAAACTGTGTAAGAACAACAGTTTTCAAGTCGATGCTGGTGTATGTTTTCACTTTTTGAGGATGTCCCTAGCGAAATCGCTATTTTCGGAAGTCCCCCAATCGTTCTGACAGCCATCTTGACGTGCTTTTTGGCCTCTCATTTCGTCATCTTGAGGTACTTCGAGAACGATATCAAGACGACGTTGAGGACATCTCATTTTGTTGAGGATGTCCCTAGCGAAATGCAAATTTTCTGCGGTGCTCTTCGTTCTGGTCCGCCGTGCTGCCGCTCGTTTTTTGAGGATGTCCCGAGCGAAATCGCAATTCTTAACACAAGAGTTAGTTAAAGACTTCAGTCGTCATTTCATTTGTTCGAGGATGTCCCGAGCGAAACGCAAATTTTCACAGACGGCGAAATTTCGCAGTCATCAACTTTTCGAGGATGTCTCGAGCGAAACGCTTGTTTTTGTTAAACGCGATGTCGCGAAGATCTCATTTTTGTGAGGATGTCTCACGTAAAATCAATCGCCATCCCGAGGAATCCGCTAAGCCTGTATACCGTGCGACCCGCCACCCCCTTATAGTTAAGAGATCTCTTACTGATGTGAAGAGGATTCAACCAAAACGTCCAGCTCGCTTCTCGTTCCTCGAAGACGCTTCCCGTCATCCGCCAGCGAGGTCCGGGATGGGATCGGTGGCCTTTAGTTAGAGAAAATGAAGCCCCAGAACCAACGGTGCACGCCGGAGGCGCTTCCCGTCATCCGAAAGCGCGCATATTGCGCTCCAGAATCCCAATCCAACAATCGGTTTTCACCATTCAGCTTTCGAGCTTAAAACGTATTTGTGGCAATCCACGCAACCAGCGAAATCCACGAACATTGATAAATCCACTAAATTCAACGAAATCAACGAAATTGTACGTATTCCGTGGATTGGTTTGATTTCGTTGGTTCTCGTGGATTTCGTGGAGTCCCAAAATCGATCAGATTGTCTCCCAACATGTAGATGAAACCAATTGGTTTTCACCATTCAATTTTCGAAAATAAGATGGCAAGCTGCGAATTCTACGCATGTTTCCACTCATTTTCCTCGTGCTCCCCCTCCCCCTCCGCCCCCTCCCCCGTCCTCCTCCCCCTCCCCCTCCCCCTTCCCCCTCCCCCTTCTCTCCCCCTCCCCCTCCCCCTCCCTTCCCCTCCCCCTTCCCCTTCCTCCTCCCCCCCCCGTCCCCGTCCCCCTCCCCGCCCCCCTCTCTTCCTCCTCCCTTCCTCCTCCTCTCCTCCTCCTCCTCCTCTCCACTTCCTCCTCGTCCTCCTCCTCCTCCTCCTCCTCCTCCCCCTCCTCCTCCTCCACTTCCTCCTCCTCATACTCTTCCTCCTCATACTCCTCCCCTCCCCATACTCACTCCTCCTCCACCTCCTCCTCGTCCTCCTCTCCTCCTCCTGGCCGGCAACCGCTGCGCGACGCGCGTCAGGTCACAGCCCTCCACCACGGTCGCCCGCGGCCGCTGCGGCCTCTTCAGACTGGAGCAGCGGGGGCAATGCCAACGGGGGGGCGGTGGGAGATTCCATAGCTCGCTTGCGCGAGCTATTGCGCGAACTCTTGCGCGAAATATCGTTGGGGGCGCGAAGTACTGCAAGGGGCACAAACTCTTGTGCTTGAAAGAGTAGCCAGGCCGCAGACTACTTCATCCATGAAACAGCTGCTGCAAGCACCGTTGCCCCCAATCCGCTGTCCCTCACCTGTGCGACCCCCACTACTCCAGCTTAGAGCCGCGCCGCGCTCACGGGCGCACAGGGGGGGGGGGCCCACCGCCCACCACCACTGCCTGGACTGCTGCTCGGAGCGAGGACGAGGGGAAAGGGTCAGGGCGGGCTGGCCCGCTCGCCCACTCCTCGGGCGGCCAACAACTTCCCCCTTGGAGGCCGGCACTTCACCAAAAACTCCTCCTCCCCCTCCTCCGCCTCCCGCTCCCTTCTCCTCCTCCGCCGTCCTCCCCCTCTTCCTCCTCCCGCACCCCCGCCTGCTCCCCACTCTTCCCCTCGTCCTCCATTCCCTTTTCTTCTCAATACAGCCCGAGGCCAGCTTTTTGGGCGGGCCAGGCGTTCCGCCTGAGACTTCCTCACCGTTTATGACTTTGAAACTGAAAAACTGACAACAGCCTCACAAATGGAGGGCGGGTGGCTTTCAACATGTGGCTTTCGCTTTCGCGCGGCGCACAATTTTTGCAAGCGCTTCATGGATTGAGGTCGGGTCGTTTTCAAAACGTGGCTCTCGCCTGAGCGCGGCGCACATTCTTTTCTAGAAATTGCAAGGGTTTCACGGATTGAGGGCCGGTGGGTGTCAAAGTGGGAGTATCGCCTTAGCGCGGCGCGCATTCGTTGAACAAGCTAGTAGTAAAATCTTCACGGATTGAGGGCGGTCCCTTTTCAACATGTGGTTCTAGCCTTAGCGGCGCGCACATTCGTTTCCATAATTTGCAAACGTTTCACGGATTCCCATCATCATCGTACCAGAAGGATTCAGGACTATGCGGGTGCAACAATTACGTCGGTTCTCTGCGTTGAAGTCCCAGAAATGGCGTTCTAGCACGATTCAGGATCGTCAACATGCAACAATCAGGTTGATCCGTGACGTTTGAATCCCGAGTACAATGTTTTGGCATGCTTCAGGGTCTTCAAACGGTTGTCTTCCAACGAGGCAGCTCGCAGCTCCCTCAGTGGGGATGAACCGTTGCAAGGGCGTCTGAAGAGGGAGCTTGGAGGGATGATTTACTCCAACATCGTTGATGACTCTTGGGTCTACGCTGGTCCTCCTCCTCCGCCTCCTCCTCTTTCTCCTCCTCCTCCTCCTCCTCATCCGCCTCCCCCTCCCCCTCCTCCTCCTCCTCCTCCTCCTCCCTCCCCTCCTGCTGCTCCTCCTCCTCCTCCTCCTGCGCCTCCGCCTCCTCCTCCTTTTTCCCCACCTCCTCCATTCCTTTTCCTTATACAGGACTTCTCCCTGTCGCACTCCGATGCCAGTTTTTAGAGCGGTCTGGGCGTTTCGCCTGAGACTTCCTCCCCATGTACGATACTGAAACTTACAGATGGAGGGCGGGTGGTGGGCGGGTGATTTTCAAACTGTGGCTCTCGCATTGGCGCCGCGCACATTCGTTCAAAACATGTGCAACAGATTCGCGAATCGAGGGCGGCGCCTTTCCAAGATGTGGCTCTCGCCTTAGCGCCGCGAATTAGCGCTGTAAAAAAATGCTAGTAGCTTCAGGCGGCCCCTTCTCAAAATGTGGCTCTCGCCTTATCGCCGCACACATTCGTTTGAAAACATTGCAAGGGTGGCACGGATTCCAGTGGTCAGCGTGCCAGAATGGTGCTTTGGATGGGTTCAGGATTATGCGGGCGCAAACAAATACATTGATTCTCGGTGTTGAAGTTTCAGAGAAGGCGTTCTGGCACGATTCTGGATCGTCAAGATGCAACGATCAGGCTGGTCCACGACGTCGAGAACGACGTTTTGACATGCATCAAGGTCTTCAAACGGTTGTCTTCCAACGAGGCTGTTCCCTCAGCGGATCTGACCCCTTGTAGGGGCCCGTGAAGAGGGACCATGAAGAGGGAGCCTGGAGGGAGGGTTTTACTCAAGCATCGTTGATGACTCTTGGGTTTACTCTGGTCCTCCTCCTCCTCCTCTTCCTCCTTCTCCTCTTTCCCCGCCCCCTCCTGCTGCTCCTCCTCCTCCTCCTCTTCCTCCTCATCCCCCTCCTCCTCCTCCTGCTCCTCCTCCTCCTCATCCTCCGTAGCCATTTTGGCTCACGCCGTTCTGGCTCTGTGGGCGGGGGGGCCCAGAGCTTCTGCAGGCGTACTTCAGAGCGGCGCGTCTGCGGAGAGCCATGGCCAGGCCGTGACCGCGGTCTGCGGCGAGTGTGGCCCGCCGCAGTGGCCTGTCGGGCAGATGAACGGACCTGCCGCCATCGTGCACGCGGGCGGTGCGGTGCTCGAGGTGCACTCCCTGCTCATGGGGGAGAAGCTCATCCTGGAGTTCCTCAAGGGCACGTTCAGGGGTGCGCACGAGGCCCTCGTGGTCGAGAGGGACCAGGCTGTGTCGATGGCGCAGCAGTTCATCGGGGACTGCAAGAGCATGATGAGGCCAGCGAGTCCGTAGAGGAGCCGACGAAGGCGTTCGGTGACCAGGTCGCCCGCGTGCTCGACCCGAGCATGGACGCGCTGTCGTCGGAGCATGTCGGGATCACCGTCCACCTGCCGATGGGCGATGCCGTGGTCCAGACTGTATGCGAGGAGCTCCCTGCAGTCCCCGTCTTTCCCGTGCTGGGCAAATGCGGCCTGGCCGAGGACGATCGGGACGTCGAGGACCTTCCCGAGGAGGCGGTCAAGCTGGAGGCCGTGAAGGTCGAGGCGAAGACAGTGAAGGTGGCGATGGATAGCGCATCATGTCGATAGCATCGAGTTGCTGAACGCCTCTGCTGGGAAGACCGAGAAGATTGTGAAGGTGCCGATGGCAAAGTACGTCGAGAACATCGTTCACGTGCCGACGGGCGTGACCCAGGAGGCCGAAGAGGGCGTTTCGTGTTCCTGCACGGCGTCTTCAGCGGAGACGTCGGCGGCGGGCGCCTCTGAGAGCGCCGCGGCGGGCTCCGAGCAGAACGAAAACGTCCACGAATACGAGAAGGAGGTGATGAATGAGCTGGACGACATGATGAAGGTCGTGGGCCTCTCTGGCGGCGAGGAGCCGAGCGCGAGGGGGCCGCGGAGCTGGGAGGCCACGGTCGCGGCCAACCAGCTGGCGCACGCGAGGGCGGCCGCTGCGGCGGCATGCCGCCGCGCCCAGTGGCGGCTCGAGCACGACGAGCTGGAGGACGCAGCGGTCTTCGGTACCGCGGTGCTGGCGGCCCCACGGGTGGCCATCCCCCAGTGCGAGACGATGGTGGAGGCGGAGGTGCTGACGGGGCTGGCCGAGGACGAGAGCCAAGGGGGCGATGTGATCTACGCAGACGCTCCAGGCGGCCTCTGCGACCAGATCGTGCAGGCCTGCGGCCCCTTCGAGCCTGGCTCCGAGGAGCACGGGGCTGCGCTCGCGAGGGTGCTGGAGGGGTTCGGGCTCACAATCGACGACTTCCGCTCCATGCTCACGGCACCCGTGGGCACGAAGCGGAAAAACAATAAGAGAAGGGGCCAGATGACTTGGGGCTGAGTGGGCGGCGGCTAAGCGCAGTTGCTGGGCTCGGCTCGAAAATCTGGTGTCCTTCTGGGGGCGGCCTGGGGGCTGCCCCGTTTCGGGCCGCGGGGTCCTTGGTGCGGCCTTGGGGGCTGCGTTCTGTTGCCCGTGGGTCTCCGTCCCCGCGGGGGTGGTGGGGCCTTGGCCACGGTTCTCCCCTCCTGGGAGGTCCGTCGCTGGGGTGCATGGGGTGCACCTGTCTGGCGTGGCCATCGGGCTCCTCGTTGCCACTCCCGCTTGCGAGCCGCAGCGTCTGCAGGTTGACTTTTGTCCGCCCAACCCAATACTATACCATACCTCCTCCTCGTCCTCCTCCTCCTTCTCCTCCTCCTCCTCCTCCTCCTCGTCCTCCTCCTCCTCCTCCTCCACCTCCTCCTCCTCCTCCTCCTCCTCCTCCTCATCCTTGTTCCTCATTGGTATATACCCCCCCCCTACGTCGTATTCCGGCCGATAGCAACCCAATCCGAGACCTCCCATCCGGACTGTAAAATATCAATACAAAGTGGCCGTTTTTCTTCTCAACATTGTCTTTCCTGTCGTCGACGATGCGAAAAACGTGGCAGGAATGGGACGCGGCGCACATCGCGCGCGGCAGTCAATCTGGACCCGCCTATCGTGACTGTAAAAAATCAATACGAAGTCTTCGTTGTTTCCTTTCAGCATGGCCTGCCTTGTCGCCGACGGTGCGAAATATGTGGCAACAGTGGGACGCGGCGCACATGTGGGACGCGCCGCACATCGCGCTCCGGGCCCGCCCATCCTGACTGCAAAATATCCATACAAAGTCTCCGCTTTTTCTTCTCAGCATGGCCTGCCTTGTCGCTTACGGTGCGAAATATGTGGCAGGAATGGGACGCGGCGCGCATCGCGCGCGGACGTCCATGCGGGCTGCGGGCCCTCCCCTCCTGACTGTAAAAAAACAATGCAGAGTTGCCGTTTTTTCCTTTCATCATGGCCTGTCTTGTCGTCGACGATGCGAAATGCGTGGCAGAAATTGGGCGCGGCGCACATCGCGCGCGGACTTCTGGGGCAACCCCAAGGCGGGAGGGGCCACCTTACTTGTCAGAAACAATGCAATGCTGATTTTCCCTGCCCACATAGCTGCTCTTGTCGTCCACTCCGCAAAAGTGCATGGCAAGAGTTGGGCGCGGCCCCCCCCCCCCTCGAAATGAATGAAATGACCTTCCCGCTTGGGCGCCGAGCGAAATTTTCTCAAAGTTGCGCTCCCGCTTTGGCTCGGCGCACGTTTTTAGCTCGCCAATTCATTGGGCGCCGGGGCGTTCCAGGAGGCCCTGGGGTGACGAATGCCTGGGAGGTTTTTGCTTGTCCAGGCTCTTGGAGGGCCTCCTAAGGTTCCCCGCGGTTTCTTGGCGGCGTCTGCGGCCGTCTGGAGGCCATCTTGGGCGTCTTGGAACGATCTTTCGGCGACTCAAGGCCCCTCGGATCGTCTCGGGGGCGTCTCGACTCTCTTGGGGCGTTCCTGGGGCGCTCTGGGACCTGGAAGTCCGCGCTCTGGGACCTGCGACACTGAAATGTCCGCGCAGCTTCCAGTTGTGCCATCACTGTTTCTTATGTTGTGGGAGGGCGGGTGGGAATGGGCATGCCATGCTTGACTCGCTCGAGCTGGCCAGCTTGAACCCTGCCCCTACCCATGCCCCTATCCTTACTTCCTATAACTAGACACGCCCACATCCCCACCGAACTGGCCGATAGCAACCTCGCCGTCCTAACTGTTAAAAAACAACACAAATTCGATGCTTGTCTCGCCAACATGTCGCCGAGATTCGAAAAAGTGCAACAGGAACAGGATGGAGTGAACATCGCTTGGGTAACCCTAAGCGGGTGGTCGCGTCCTACCCATCCAAACATAATACACAATCAGCGTTTTTCGCGTCAACGTGGACTTTCTTGTCGTCGACGCTGCAAACAAGTGTAGCAGGAATGGGACGCGGCGCACATCGCGCGTGGACGCCTGGCCAACCCTACGCGGGACCCCCCATCCTACTTGTCAAAAAAACACTGCGGCGTCGACGTTTGTCTTGCCAACATGTATTTTCTCGACGTCGGCGCTGCGAACCGCGTAGCGGGAATGGGACGCGGCGCACATCGCGCGGAGACGCCTGCTCGTCAACATGGATTTTCTTGTCGTCGACGCTGCGGTTCGTCGGGTTGAAGAGCTGGGCGGGCGTACATCGCGCGCGGTCTTTCTCGTCGACGTTGCTCAATACGCGGCACGAATAGGACGCAGCTCATGTCGCGCGCTGAACGTCTAGCCGCCCGCGTAGTAAGATGAAGGACAGGCGTCGGACACGACGCACTTGGTTCTTATGTTGTGGGAGGGCGGGTGGGCGTGGACGGAGCTCTCTGGCCCTTTCGGGCTGGCCAACTTGACCCAATCCTTACTTCCTGTGATTAAACACCCCCAGACCCCCACCTGGCTGGCCGATAGCAACCCAAACGTTCTAACTGTCAAACAAAACGTACAAATCAATTTGTTTCGCCAACATGCCGTCGAGTTGCGAACAGTGTATCAGAAATGGGACGGATTGAACATCGCTTGGGGGGCCCCAAGCGGGTGGTCGCGTCCTACCGATCAGAAAAACAATACGAAGTCAACGTTTTTCTCGTCAACATGGACTTGTCGTCGACGCAGCGAAAAGTGCAGCAGGAATGGGACTCGGCGCACATCGCGCGCGGGCGCCTGGTCCACCCTGCGCGGGACCCCCCGTCCTACGTGCCAAAAAACACCGCAACGTCGACGTTCTTCTTGCCAACATGTATTTTCTCGACGTCGGCGCTGCGAATCGCGTAGCGGGAATGGGGCGCGGCGCACATCGCGCGGGGACGCCTGCTCGTCGACATGGACTTTCTTGTCGTCGACGCTGCGGCCCGTCGGGTTGAGGAGCTGGGCGGGCGGCATGTTATAATGCCTCGAGCAAGTGCGGTTCGCCGCCGGCGCTCGCGGCTGGAATGAGACGCGGCGCACTTCGCGCGCTGGACATGTTGCCGCCGACGATGCAACATGAGAGGCCGGAGCGGGGCGCGGCGTACATCGCGCGCGGTCTTGTTTCTCGTCGACGTTGTTCAATACGCGGCAGGAATAGGACGCAGCTCATGTCGCGCGTTGAATTTCTAGCCGCCCACCATATAAGATGAACGACAGGCGTCGGACGCGACGCACTTGCTTCTTTTGTTGTGGGAGGGCGGGTGGGCGTGGACGGAGCCCTATAGCTCGTTCGCTGGCTAACCTGACCCCACCCCGCCCCACCCCGCCCCACTCCCACAGCCCTCCCCCCGCCCCACCCCACTCCATTCCCACAGGGAGGGGGTGGTCCGAGCTGTCGGCGGCCCCCGGTGCCCCCGGTAATTACGAACACCCCCAAGGAAAAAGGCAGGGGGCGGGGGGATTCTGGGCCGTCACTGGCGCCCCGTGCGACCGGTACGAAACCTCCCGGGAAGAGGGGGATGAGGTCCGTGCCACGGGGCACCGCCTATACATATATATATATATGTATATATATATACACATACATATATTAATATGAATATGAATATGAATATGAATACGAATATCAATATGAATAGGAATATGAATATGAATATGAATATGAATATGAATATGATTATGAGTATGGATATGAATATGAATATGAATATGAATACGAATATGAGTATGAACATGGATTTGAATATGATTATGAATATGAATATGTATGTATGTATGTATGGTATGTATATATATATATAGAGAGAGAGAGAGAGAGAGAGAGAGAGAGAGAGAGAGAGAGAGAAAGAAGAGAGAAAAAAAAAAAAAAAAAAAAAAAAAAAAAAAAAAAAAAAAAAAAAAAAACAGAAAATAACAAATCTGGGGCCCTGCGACCCCCCCGCCCTAAGCAAGACCCCTCCAAATCCATGGCCAGGGGGGCGCCATGGACGCCCGTGCAGACGGTCCCCTGTGCCGCCCAGGGCTCCTGAAGCCCTTGCTGTGCCTGGGCACTGGGCCCGAGTCGGTCAGGAGGGCGGCCGACGGCCCCGCGAGAGCCCGCTGCAGAGGCCCAGGACACTCGCCAGACGCCCGAAGACAACCGAGAGAAGACCCCCAAGAGGCATCCGGCACGCAAAAAAACAAAAGTTGCATATGACATTTGTACCTGTAGGCCTTTGGGAATGCTCAATTCTTCGGTTCTCTGGGAGTTCGGGATCGCCCAGGGGGCCATATAATCGCCCCAACATTCAACCAAGAGTGCTTGGAGGCAGTGCAACAGGAACCCCAAGACGGCCCAACAGGGCCCCAAGATGGCCCGAAGAGAGCCCCATGACGGCACAAGATGGCCCCAAGAAACCTCCCGAATCATTCCAAATCGTGACCCGGTCGTTCAGGGAGACCGCAGGGAAGCAAGATGACCCAGGGAAGACCCAGAGGGCCCCCAGGCAGAATCCAGGAGGCTTCCAAAAGGCCCAAACAAGCCCTTGAAAACCGTCGTGATACTTACAAGAGCTCTCCTAGGATGAGCTTCCAAAACAAAAAAAACTAAGAATGCGGGCGAAGTCGAAGGGTAGGGCGAGAATGAGGGAGAAGAAGCGTGAGGGAAGGGTGAAGAATAACATGATTACAACGACGATGCCAGAAAAAACAACAACAACAACAACAACAACAACAACAACAACAACAACAATTACTAGCACGTGGGGACACTCCGTTCTCACCAGTGCCAGGGTTTTCATACGACGCCCGCCAATACCCCCACTTTGTGGGGGGGCCGGTTCAAGCTCTACCACATTTCCAAACGACTCTTCGCCACCACCCACACCCAGCTTCCCGCCCTATGACGTTCGGACACTTCACTTCGTGGCCTGCGGACGACCGTGGCTACTACACTGGCGCATGGGTACAGTGACTTGTTGTGGTAACATTATCTGGACGCTAGCTTAGTAAATTCGTACAGATGTTTTTCGAAGACCTACGGTGCGATTCG